GTCACACACCATCACCCCTGAGCAGCTGCACGTGGCGGGCGCTCGTGTCAGACGCACGTGGCGGGCGCACGACGCGGCCGCACGTGGCGGGCGCATGACGCGGGCGCTCGTGGCGGCGCGTGCGAGGTAAACACCACTGTAGCACGTAGAGTCAGGATGCGTCCGAGGGGCCCCTCATGGCCAGAAACGCTTCACTGACGCTGACGTCAGTGTTGACGTATGAGTTGACGTAAAAGGTCCATCCACCCGGACTGGTCGGCGCGGCGACGGCAACGGACGCCCTATACCCGATCGGACGGGTATAGGGCGTCCGATCCCCGTCGGTCAAAGTGGACGGGCATCGTTCTTTCACCCCCGTCCTCATCTCGATTGATTGATTGATGAAGATTAAGCCACCCAAGAGGTGGCACGGGCATGAATAGCCCGTAAGTGGTGGCCCTTTTGAGCCATTACCAGTATCAAGAGCTGATACTGGAGATCTGTGGAGGTGCGACTGCACCCTGCGTGACGGGAGATGTCTCCCGTGGTCCTCATCTCCCAGATACTGTCCTCATATCCTCACTCCTTGTCCTCATATCCTCACTCCTTGTCCTCATATCCTCACTCCTTGTCCTCATATCCCAAGTGCTATATAGTCACACTGGTTTCTCCTCATAATTACCACGCCTCACTGAGAACAATATGTGCATTGTTCACGACCTTTTAGTTAAGCAGTTGTTTATCGTGCACCTTTTGTAGTGCGATATTACTGACCTTTAGAGTAACGTAAAGACAAGTATTATTATTTAGAGTCACAAGGGCCAGCGTTAGTGAGCTGTCGAACAACAGTGTTTCGAGAAATGGTTTGCTCGATGGGCCCCTGATGATGGGACGATGGGACGCTCTGCCGTCCAATCACTTGGGCTGGACGGTAGAGCGACAGTCTAGCTTCATGCAGATCAGCGTTCAATCCCCGACCGTCCAAGTAGTTGGGTACCATTCCTTACCCCATCCCATCCCAAATCCTTATCCTGATCCTTTCCCAGTGCTACATAGTCGTCATGGCTTGGCACTTTACCCCTGATAGTTTCCTTTCCTTCGATGGCCCCCTGGCACGCTTGAGTGCATGAACGGGAAAGCAGTGCCAAAGCAAGTGTCACACTTAAGCGAGAATGATAACATTGATCAGCTGTTGGGAATATCAACACTGATCAGCTGTCCTCGTACCAACAACAGCTGACGGGGATAACAACATTATACAGGTCTGTGTTATCATTCTCGTCAACCTGATCAGTGTTATTATTCCCATCAGCTGATCAATGTTGTCATTCCCGTCAGGTGATCGCGGTTGCTGATTAATGAAAAAAATTATCGGGTAACATAACAGACGCGTGATCATTGGATTGTTTCAAGCTTAGGTTAGACATGTGAATGAGTGTAGGTGGGTCTAAATATGGACCGTGTCACGTGGACCGACAATCTTTGTGCAATTTCTTGTGTCCTTATGTTCATATAATTACCCCCTCCTTTTTTTCAAAATTCCCCCCCCCCCCTCCTCCCACCTCTCCCCACACTCTCTCCACTCTTGCTTCAAGACCTTAAATGCCAACATAATAAAAACCTGGAAAACATGTCTTAAGCGAAGTTGGTTAATGATTGACCCTCTGACCTGAGGCTGACCTGGACCTGAGGCTGACCTGGACCTGGTGTGACCTCAGTATGGCTGCCAGGGGAGACGGGGCAGGAAGCCTCAGTACACACCGACGTTTCTCAACTTTTTGATTTCGAATAACAAATTTGTTTTTCCTAAGCGCTAATTTGTCTACTTCTACTGAGAGAAAGAGAGAGAAAGAGAGAGACAGAGAGAGACAGAGAGAGAAAGAGAGAGACAGAGAGAGAAAGAGAGAGAGACAGAGAGAGACAGAGAGGGGGGGGAGGGAGAGAGGGGGAGGGAGAGGGCGGGGGGGGGGGGGGAATTATCAGGGAAAGCGCCAAGCCATTACGACTATATAGCACTTGGAAGAGGTCAGGGTAAGGATTTGGGATGGGACGGGGGAAGGAATGGTGCCCAATCACTTGGACGGTCGGGGATTGAACGCCAACCTGCATGAAGCGAGACCGTCGCTCTACCGTCCAGCCCAAGTGGTTGGGAAAAAGAGAGAGAGAGAGAGAGAGGGGGGGGTGGGGGGAAGAGAGGGGGGGGAGGTCAGACAATTCTCATCGGATACTTTCATCTCAATTCTTGATTTTCGTGGACTGACTAATTTCGAGGGTTTGCTAAAATTTCTCTCACGATCTGTCTGGCCCGTCATATTTTTTCCAGTAATTATAATCGCGATGGAAGAGATGAAGAGCCTCGCAAATTTAATTCGGATTATAAAATTGATAGAATATTTACCTTTACCAGAGAACACTTTCTATATTTTTGTACCAATGACCTTATGAACAGATTTTGTTAAGTGTTCATTATTTATTATTTACTTCAGTACTTTTATTTAATTTCGCCAAGAAAACTTAGAAATCACCGTTGGAGGATTGATTGTAGTTGAATTGTGAACGAATTTGTTGTTTACTCAGTGGGTTTGAGAGGCAGTGAGGGACAGAGAGGCAGTGAGGGGCCGAGAGAGGCAGTGAGGGGCCGAGAGAGGCAGTGAGGGACACAGAAAGGCAGTGAGGGACACACAGAGAGGCAGTGAGGGACACACAGAGAGGCAGTGAGGGACACACAGAGACAGTGAGGGACACACAGAGACAGTGAGGGACACACAGAGACAGTGAGGGACACACAGAGACAGTGAGGGACACACAGAGACAGTGAGGGACACACAGAGACAGTGAGGGACACACAGAGACAGTGAGGGACACACAGAGACAGTGAGGGACACACAGAGACAGTGAGGGACACACAGAGACAGTGAGGGACACACAGAGACAGTGAGGGACACACAGAGACAGTGAGGGACACACAGAGACAGTGAGGGACACACAGAGACAGTGAGGGACACACAGAGACAGTGAGGGACACACAGAGACAGTGAGGGACACACAGAGACAGTGAGGGACACACAGAGACAGTGAGGGACACACAGAGACAGTGAGGGACACACAGAGACAGTGAGGGACACACAGAGACAGTGAGGGACACACAGAGACAGTGAGGGACACACAGAGACAGTGAGGGACACACAGAGACAGTGAGGGACACACAGAGACAGTGAGGGACACACAGAGACAGTGAGGGACACAGAGAGACAGTGAGGGACACAGAGAGACAGTGAGGGACACACAGAGACAGTGAGGGACACAGAGAGACAGTGAGGGACACAGAGACAGTGAGGGACACAGAGACAGTGAGGAACACAGAGACAGTGAGGGACACAGAGGCAGTGAGGGACACAGAGGCAGTGAGGGACACAGAGACAGTGAGGGACACAGAGACAGTGAGGGACACAGAGACAGTGAGGGACACAGAGCAGTGAGGGACACAGAGACAGTGAGGGACACAGAGACAGTGAGGGGCGGTGAAGGAGAGGAAACAATAGAGACATAGATATGTGTGTGCTCACCTTTGTGTGCCTGCCGGATCAAGCTTCAGTTGTTGGACCCCGCCTTTCTACCTTCCGGTTGCCTACTGGATTGACTCTCGACCAATTTGCTAATCTACTCTTAAAATTATGAATAGCGTTTGCTTCAACAAACTTAGTTGAAGTTCCTTTAGTTCATTAATTTTTCCATTACTCTTACAATTGAAGAAAGCTTTCTAATACCTCTATGGCTCACCTCTTTCTCAAGTTTCAGCCTCTGTCCTCTTGTTTCACTGATATTGATTGTGGTCCGCTTTTACAACTGTCAGACCCTTAGGTATTTTACACGTCTCTATCATGTGTTCCCTCTCATCTCATTTTTTCCCCCAAAATCGTCAGGTCTAGTTTTATTTAAGTCTCTCTTCATACCCATCCCCCTCGTAAGTCTGGAACGAACCTCGCTGTAAACTTCTGGATCTTTTTTCGAGTGTCCTTATCTGTTTTGTAGACCGGGGCTCCAGGATGGGACGGTATACTGTAACACTGGTCTCACATAGGCGGTTTACAGCGATTTAAATGCATCCTTATTTATTACTGAATGATATTCCAACTTTTGCTAGTGTAGAGTATGCTGCTGACGTTATCCTAGTGTAGAGTATGTTGCTGATGTTATCCTAGTGTAGAGTATGATGCTGATGTTATCCTAGTGTAGAGTATGATGCTGATGTTATCCTGGTGTAGAGTATGATGCTGATGTTATCCGATACACATATAGCCTCTGGAGTTAGGGCTGTGTTATGTCCACGCCCAGGTCTTTTCCCTGGTCGTTATAGGGAGGTAGTCTTTCTTCATTGTGCATTATCCTCTTAGTCTCCTGTTGTCCTTTCTCATTTCCATCAACTTACACTTGCTGGTGTTGAAATCCAGAAGCCATTTCTCAGATCAACTATGCAACAAAACTCATCTGGGGGAATCTTACAAGCCTCATCTGTCTCAATTCTTTCATTAATTTCTCAGTTTTGAAACATCAACTTACAGGAGTCAACCCTTGTAGATACGTCATTATCTTAAATGAGAAATAGTGTGGGGGCCCAGCACCGATCCTTGAGGTACTCCGTTTGCCGCGTGTACTCACCTAATTGTGCTTGCGGGGGTTGAGCTCTGGCTCTTTGTTCCCGCCTCTCAACCGTCAATCAACAGGTGATTGATCACACGCGGTGAACCGCATCTGAGAGTTTCCGAAGACCACAGTCCTAGTGATGATGAGATGTTCGTCTTGGTGAGGCTGGAGTGGCCGGCTGGCTGGGCCAGCTGGGCCAGCTGGGTCTAGGTGGTCCAGGAAATCAGCTGCCCGTGTGTTGTGAGGGCCACCAGCTGGGGGTGCCCCGTGACCCCCCCCCCAGTCTTACCCCACACTCTCGGCTGTGGACCAATTATTTCTTCACTAGGTGCCAGCGGTGAGATATTTCCTTGCACTGTACACACCTGCGGCTCTTTTCACTGTGGGTGTCTGTTGACAGTGAGGGTCTCTGGACTGTGGGTGTCTGTTGACAGTGGGGGTCTCTGGACTGTGGGGTCTGTTGACAGTGGGGGTCTCTGGACTGTAGGGGTCTCTGGACTGTGGGGGTCTCTGGACTGTGGGGGTCTGTTGACAGTGGGGGTCTCTGGACTGTGGGGGTCTGTTGACAGTGGGGGTCTCTGGACTGTGGGGGTCTGTTGACAGTGGGGGTCTCTGGACTGTGGGGGTCTGTTGACAGTGGGGTCTCTGGACTGTGGGGGTGGGGGTCTGTTGACAGTGGGGTCTCTGGACTGTGGGGGTCTGTTGACAGTGGGGGTCTCTGGACTGTGGGGGTCTGTTGACAGTGGGGGTCTGTTGACAGTGGGGGTCTCTGGACTGTGGGGGTCTCTGGACTGTGGGGGTCTGTTGACAGTGGGGGTCTCTGGACTGTGGGGGTCTGTTGACAGTGGGGGTCTCTGGACTGTGGGGGTCTGTTGACAGTGGGGGTCTCTGGACTGTGGGGGTCTGTTGACAGTGGGGGTCTCTGGACTGTGGGGGTCTGTTGACAGTGGGGTCTCTGGACTGTGGGGGTCTGTTGACAGTGGGGTCTCTGGACTGTGGGGGTCTGTTGACAGTGGGGGTCTGTTGACAGTGGGGGTCTGTTGACAGTGGGGGTCTGTTGACAGTGGGGGTCTCTGGACTGTGGGGGTCTCTGGACTGTAGGGGTCTCTGGACTGTGGGGGTCTCTGGACTGTGGGGGTCTGTTGACAGTGGGGGTCTCTGGACTGTGGGGGTCTGTTGACAGTGGAGGTCTCTGGACTGTGGGGGGTCTGTTGACAGTGGGGGTCTCTGGACTGTGGGGGTCTGTTGACAGTGGGGGTCTCTGGACTGTGGGGGTCTGTTGACAGTGGGGGGTCTCTGGACTGTGGGGGTCTGTTGACAGTGGGGTCTCTGGACTGTGGGGGTCTGTTGACAATGGGGGTCTCTGGACTGTGGGGGTCTGTTGACAGTGGGGTCTCTGGACTGTGGGGTCTGTTGACAGTGGGGTCTCTGGACTGTGGGGGTCTGTTGACAGTGGGGTCTCTGGACTGTGGGGGTCTGTTGACAGTGGGGTCTCTGGACTGTGGGGGTCTGTTGACAGTGGGGGTCTCTGGGCTGTGGGGGTCTGTTGACAGTGGGGTCTCTGGACTGTGGGGGTCTGTTGACAGTGGGGGTCTCTGGGCTGTGGGGGTCTGTTGACTGTGGGGGTCTCTGGACTGTGGGGGTCTCTGGACTGTGGGGGTCTGTTGACTGTGGGGTCCAGGTCATGACCAGGTAGGTCTCTTCCCTGTGATCGGGGCGGCGAGGTTAGGGGTCGGGTGAGCTATGTGGGCAAATTTTCGTAATTGGTGAAATCGGCTTATGACGAGGTGTCCTATTCTGTTATTAATTATGAGTAGATGATGGTGCGTTTATCGAGGCGCCGTAGTGATTATTACTCACCCCGCGGGTCATAGTGAGGAATGGGCGGTAGGTACCAGCGTGTCCTAGTTGAATTAATTATTATTACACACACAGGTCATTGCGGCCGAGTGGACAGCGCTCGGGGGTCGTAGTTCTAAGGGTCTAGGATCGACTCACGGTCAAGTCAGAAACAAATGCGCAGAGTTCCTTTCACCCGACACTCATGTTCACCTAGCAGTATATATGTGCCTGGGAGTTAGACAAGGGATACGGGCTGCTTCTTGGGATGTGTGTGTGTAATTGCTGGGGCTGGGGAGGGGCTGTGTGTGTATTCACCTTGTTGTACTTGCGGGGGTTGAGCTCTGCTCTTTTGGCCCGCCTCTCAACTGTTAATCAATCAACTGTTAGTAACTACTATTTTTTCACACACACACACACACACACACACACACACACGTGTGTGTGTGTGTGTGTGTGTGTGTGTGTGTGTGTGTGTGTGTGTGTGTGTGTGTGTGTGTGTGTGCTCACCTATTTGTACTCACCTATTTGTGCTTGCAGGATCGAGCATTGACTCTTGGATCCCGCCTTTCTAGCTATCGGTTGTTTACAGCAATGACTCCTGTCCCATTTCCCTATCATACCTAGTTTTAAAAGTATGAATAGTATTTGCTTCCACAACCTGTTCCCCAAGTGCATTCCATTTTTCCACTACTCTTACGCTAAAAGAAAACTTCCTAACATCTCTGTGACTCAACTGAGTTTCCAGTGTGTGTGTGTGTGTGTGTGTGTGTAAACTAGGTGTGTGTCAACTAGTGAATACACACTCAGGAAGTAGCCCGTAGCAGGTGTTTAACTCCAAGGTACCTATTTACTGCTAGGTAACAGGCAATCAGGGTGAAGAAAACTCTGCCCATTTGTTTTTCCGCCGGGGACCGGGATCAAACCCTGGTCCCCTAGGTCCACGAGTCTAAGAGGTTCTAGGCTCAAGGTTCCCCTCATGGTAGGAGAATCCTGTTGATGACGTCATGAACACACATTTGCAAAAATCTAAGTAGATTTTTTTTTACAATTTTCTGGACATCAGTGCATGATGATTTACCATAAAGTAAGAGGAAAACAATGTTTTTAGAACATTCGCCAGAACGTTCACAGGGGGTCCCTATTGCTCCGTGCCAAGCTGAACGTTCACAGGGGGTCCCTATGGCCCCGTGCCAAGCTGAACGTTCACAGGGGGTCCCTATGGCCCCGTGCCAAGCTGACGTTCACAGGGGGTCCCTATGGCCCCGTGCCAAGCTGAACGTTCACAGGGGGTCCCTATGGCCCCGTGCCAAGCTGTACTTGTGGGACTGGTGCCAGCTGCAACCCGAACATGTTTGGCACATAACCCACAGAAACCATGATAGAAAATTGGATGAGGCTGCCTCCAGGCATCTGGCCGCCAGCCTCGGACAGACTATAGGGTACTTGGCAGTGCTAATTAAGTGTTGAGAACCCCGAGAGTGCAAATGACTGGCATATCTTACCCACACTTGCCTTCATCAGGTTTATTAAGACTAAGGTAAGAAGGCCAATCAGGACCACCTGATTGGCCACCTAAGACCAATCAGGAAAACTTTTGATGGGGTTAGGAGCAAGTGATAAAAAACTCTATGGACTCGGCTCAAACATTTAAACTTCACAGAGTTCGGTAGAGATGAAATACCTCGCCCCTTTAAAGGGAGACATAAGGGCTCATTTGGACCCCCCCCCACCCCCATCACCGTTCCCCTACACTCACTAATCACCCTGCAAAGTTTAGAGAGGCTAGCTAGAAGCATCTGGCCTTCAGACTAGGATATTCAATCTAATAGATGCAGATAAATTTCCAACATGATAACGTTATTGTGTCGCTACATTACCAGCAGAGGTCAGTCGCGTTCACTGTTGCTACAGTGTTGACATTGTCACCTTTATTTTAGTGCATAAAGAACAGGAGAGGAAGTTACAGCAACATCCTCCCCCACCCTCTACTGGAGTACCAACCATTCCCCCACCCCCTACTGGAGTACCAACCATTCCCTCACCCTCTACTGGAGTACCAACCATTCCCTCACCCTCTACTGGAGTACCAACCATTCCCTCACCCTCTACTGGAGTACCAACCATCCCCCCACCCTCTACTGGAGTACCAACCATCCCCCCACCCCCCACTGGAGTACCAACCATCCCCCCACCCTCTACTGTGGGTCCCATGTTGTGTGTACAGTAGACAAGACTGACACCGTCGCTGTGGGAAGTACCAGACATCACCTCATACCAACCACCTCATGAGACACTCACTACCTACACTTCAGAACGAGCGCGGCACCTGGGACAAGATGACCGAATATTGTTACGCCTCACAACGTCTAGGTCGACCTTGGAGGGGTGGTGGCGCGGAGCACTGTGTTGTCCCGAGGCGTGCTTGCCCCTGGAGGGAGGGAAGGGAAGGGGGGGGGGGGGAAGGGTACTATCATCAACAATTAATCAAGATGCCCAACTGGTGTTGTGATGGCACCATGGAGAGTCACGCCGTGGTGCCATTAACGGGGATGGAGCCGTCACGGGACGTGTGTGCGTGTGCGTGTGCGTGTGCGTGTGTGTGTGTGTGTGTGTGTGTGTGTGTGTGTGTGTGTGTGTGTGTGTGTGTGTGTGTGTGAGGGGGGACGGGGTGGGGCTCGTCCAGCACTCCTGCAGGTATCATGTTTTCTCCACCTGGCTTTTTCTGATCCGGCTGACCCAGATATTCAGACATAAGCTAGCAGCCACCCAGGGCCCACCCAGCTCTCCTGCGGCCCAGGGCGCACCCAGCTCTCCTGCGGCCCAGGGCCCACCCAGCTCTCCTGCGGCCCAGGGCGCACCCAGCTCTCCTGCGGCCCAGGGCCCACCCAGCTCTCCTGCGGCCCAGGGCGCACCCAGCTCTCCTGCGGCCCAGGGCCCACCCAGCTCTCCTGCGGCCCCCACCCAGCTCACCTGCGGCCCCCACCCAGCTCTCCTGCGGCCCAGGGCCCACCCAGCTCTCCTGCGGCCCAGGGCCCACCCAGCTCTCCTGCGGCCCAGGGCCCACCCAGCTCTCCTGCGGCCCAGGGCCCACCCAGCTCTCCTGCGGCCCAGGGCCCACCCAGCTCTCCTGCGGCCCAGGGCCCACCCAGCTCTCCTGCGGCCCAGGGCGCACCCAGCTCTCCTGCGGCCCAGGGCCCACCCAGCTCTCCTGCGGCCCAGGGCCCACCCAGCTCTCCTGCGGCCCAGGGCCCACCCAGCTCTCCTGCGGCCCAGGGCCCACCCAGCTCTCCTGCGGCCCAGGGCCCACCCATCTCACCTGCGGCCCAGGGCCCACCCAGCTCACCTGCGGCCCAGGGCCCACACAGCTCACCTGCGGCCCAGGGCCCACCCAGCTCACCTGCGGCCCAGGGCCCACCCAGCTCACCTACGGCCCAGGAGCGCAAGACCGGTCACCCTCGACGTGAAGCTACACACCCAAGCTGGAATTCACTGGTCAATACACTGGTATCGAGTCTCCTTGCGGCTCATCACTACACAATGAGTGTACATTTAGGGGTTCTGAACACAACTCACCTTTCTTCTCGGGGACACGTGACCACACCGCTGGCCGCGTCTGCCTACAAGTGCCTGGATGAACACCCCAGCGGGTGTTCTCCTTGGCCGGTGTGTTCACTCACAGGATGAGTGACACTCTCCAACACCGTCACCATGGTGGTACACTCACTCACAGAATGAGTGACACTCTCCAACACCGTCACCATGGTGGCATACTCACTCACAGGATGAGTGACACTCTCCAACACCGTCACCATGGTGGCACACTCACTCACAGGATGAGTGACACTCTCCAACACCGTCACCATGGTGGCACACTCACTCACAGGATGAGTGACACTCTCCAACACCGTCACCATGGTGGTACACTCACTCACAGGATGAGTGACACTCTCCAACACCGTCACCATGGTGGTACACTCACTCACAGGATGAGTGACACTCTCCAACACCGTCACCATGGTGGCACACTCACTCACAGGATGAGTGACACTCCAATAAACTATTCCTCCGAGGCCACATAGAATTAAAAATGAAATCGATGCCTACTTTTATTGTACCCAGCAGCCTCACGCCGGCCTCAGCAACGAACCTTCGTGGAAGAAAAGAAATGATTATTTATGACACCAACAGAATATTATGAGGAATAAACCTTAACGTGAGATGAGGATTATAATCCATCGCTCAGTAACAGCAGTACTTGTATGACGTCACTCCCCTTTTTTACTTCTGTAAAGGAGGAAATGTATATGTTTATCTCTCAGAATGTTCGGTAATATGTTTATTGTTTGTGATGTGTGTCTATGTATGTATTAACACGATGTACTGAACGGGGTGAGAATAGCTTGAGCTGCCTCATCCCTTTGTGTGTATTTTACCTCAATAAACTTATTTCAATTTCAATTGCAACTCCCCTTTATCCAGCCTCACAGTGAAAGTGAATCTTGATGTTTGTACTAAAATAGAATTGAAACCCGGTATTTCTATGTTCTGATAAGAAGAATTATATACCACAAAACTATCTTAAAAGACTGGTAATAAAATCTTATTAGCTGTGATTTTAAACGAGAAAGAGAGAGAGAGAGAGAGAGAGAGAGAGAGAGAGAGAGAGAGAGAGAGAGAGAGAGAGAGAGAGAGAGAGAGAGAGTGTGTGTGTCGCAGCAACTCTCCCAGCTTCTCCCAGCAGACCCGCCTTGTCCTCCCCCAGCTCTGTAATTTCACACACAAGAGCAGAGCTTCCCATGGGAGGCACTTCTGGTGTGTGCACTGGGCCGGCCTCCACACTCTTGTCTGGCTGGCTAGGTGTCTGGCTGGCTAGGTGTCTGGCTGGCTAGGTGTCTGGCTGGCTAGGTGTCTGGCTGGCTAGGTGTCTGGCTGGCTGAGAGTGACAGTGTAACACAGTTTTAGGTGATGGAATGTGGTGAGGCTGAGACGCCTGGAACCCACCAAATGGTAAGCCGTTGCCTAGGCTTCCACGTACACCCTGATGCGTGTGAGCGCTCGCTCGCATATATTGACACAAACACACACAAAGGCAGCGATGACTGTTGTGTACACATAAGCGTGTAGCTCCAGCTGGTCCTCTCCCTGACATCAAGACTCCCAGCTACTTTGTAACGGGGTACAACAGCCTGCTTGTTCAGTTAAGGGGTTTGCTTGCTGAGCTTGTCCCACGGTGCTTGCCGTGTTTGAGGTCACCAGCCAGCAGCCTCCATACTTCAGATCACCCGCATTAGAGAGGTTGTCAGCAGTAACGCTCCTAAGCAGACATAGTGAGATGGGATAAAAAGCATAGTGAGATGGGACAATAAGCAGACATAGTGAGGTGGGACCATAAGCAGACATCGTGAGGTGGGACCATAAGCAGACATAGTGAGGGGAGACAATAAGCAGACATAGTGAGGAGGGGCAATAAGCAGGCATAGTGAGGTGGGACCATAAGCAGACATAATGAGGGGAGACAATAAGCAGACATAGTGAGGGGAGACAATAAGCAGACATAGTGAGGAGGGGCAATAAGCAGACATAGTGTGGTGGGGCAATAAACAGACATAGTGAGGTGGGACCATAAGCAGACATAGTGAGGTGGGACCATAAGCAGACATAGTTGTGGGGCAATAAACAGACATAGTGAGGAGGGGCAATAAGCAGGCATAGTAAGGTGGGACAATAAGCAGACATAGTGAGGTGGGACCATAAGCAGACATAGTGAGGTGGGACCATAAGCAGACATAGTTGTGGGGCAATAAACAGACATAGTGAGGAGGGGCAATAAGCAGGCATAGTAAGGTGGGACAATAAGCAGACATAGTAAGGTGGGACCATAAGCAGACATAGTGAGGTGGGGAGACAATAAGCAGACATAGTGAGGTGGGACAATAAGCAGACATAGTGAGGTGGGACCATAAGCAGACATAGTGAGGTGGGACAATAAGCAGACATAGTGAGGTGGGACCATAAGCTGGCATAGTGAGGTGGGACCATAAGCAGACATAGTGAGGTGGGACCATAAGCAGACATAGTGAGGTGGGACCATAAGCAGACATAGTGAGGTGGAACCATAAGCAGACATAGTGAGGTGGAACCATAAGCAGACATAGTGAGGTGGGACCATAAGCAGACATAGTGAGGTGGGACCATAAGCAGACATAGTGAGGTGGAACCATAAGCAGACATAGTGAGGTGGGACCATAAGCAGACATAGTGAGGTGGGGAGACAATAAGCAGACATAGTGAGGTGGGACAATAAGCAGACATAGTGAGGTGGGACCATAAGCAGACATAGTGAGGTGGGACCATAAGCAGACATAGTGAGGTGGAACCATAAGCAGACATAGTGAGGTGGGACCATAAGCAGACATAGTGAGGTGGGACCATAAGCAGACATAGTGAGGTGGGACCATAAGCAGACATAGTGAGGTGGGACCATAAGCAGACATAGTGAGGTGGAACCATAAGCAGACATAGTGAGGTGGGACCATAAGCAGACATAGTGAGGTGGGGAGACAATAAGCAGACATAGTGAGGTGGGACAATAAGCAGACATAGTGAGGTGGGACCATAAGCAGACATAGTGAGGTGGGACAATAAGCAGACATAGTGAGGTGGGACCATAAGCAGACATAGTGAGGTGGGACCATAAGCAGACATAGTGAGGTGGAACCATAAGCAGACATAGTGAGGTGGGACCATAAGCAGACATAGTGAGGTGGGACAATAAGCAGACATAGTGAGGTGGGACCATAAGCAGACATAGTGAGGTGGGACCATAAACAGACATAGTGAGGTGGGACCATAAGCAGACATAGTGAGGTGGGACCATAAGCAGACATAGTGAGGTGGGACAATAAGAAGACATAGTGAGGTGGGACCATAAGCAGACATAGTGAGGTGGGACCATAAGCAGACATAGTGAGGTGGGACCATAAGCAGGCATAGTGAGGGGGGACCATAAGCAGACATAGTGAGGTGGAACCATAAGCAGACATAGTGAGGTGGGACCATAAGCAGACATAGTGAGGGGGGACCATAAGCAGACATAGTGAGGTGGGACCATAAGCAGACATAGTGAGGTGGGACCATAAGCAGGCATAGTGAGGGGGGACCATAAGCAGATATAGTGAGGTGGAACCATAAGCAGACATAGTGAGGTGGGACCATAAGCAGACATAGTGAGGTGGGACCATAAGCAGACATAGTGAGGGGGACCATAAGCAGACATAGTAAGGTGGGACCATAAGCAGACATAGTGAGGTGGGACCATAAGCAAGGTCCCAGGTGGCGTGAGGGTCTGATGGCTACCGGGCCTGCGAGCCGCACTCCCACACTGACCTACTTGGCAAGTTCGACCCTCAATGACTACACATAAAAAGAGACTCCCAAAGGGGTATAAATTCCGCTGCTGGTGCCTTATGGCTCTCGATCTCCTTTTTTACATATATCCAACAGTTATTCCCAAGCCCTTATGCAATATTTTTTTGCGCTGCGAATACCTTTTTATCCAAGACACGGCGCAATGACCTTCCCCTTACGGGTAATTCACAGGGTATTGCACATTCCCGCCGGGATGAATTTCCGATATGCGAAGAACTTCGATGAGATGTGTGTGTGTTCCAGCTGCTGCCTGCAGGGCCGGTCGGAGGCCGTCACTGGCAAGTAGCTTCACACATCACCGACCATTCCGGCCGAATACCTTCACGTGAGCGAACCATCGCGGGAAGAATGCACCCCTGAGGCGGCCTGGGCTGCGCCTCCGGGCTGGGTCGAGGTGGTGGTGGTGGTGGTGGTAGCTGGGTTCTGGCGTGCATGGGTAAATGTGGTGATGGGGTGGGGTAGGGGGGAGGTGGGGGAGGACAGCCGGTCATCGCGTGTGGTACTCTAAGGCTCCCGGCACCCTTGGGCACCTCACCTTGCACGCACGCACGCACGCGAAAACACACACACATGCTAGTGCAAAAGTTAGAGAATCAGACAAGAGTAATAAGGGATAAGAGAGTACCTAAGCAATAGGAAGCAGAGTGTTACAGCGAGGGGGGGGAGACCTCAGATTGGCGTGAAGTCACAAGCGGAGTCCCACAGGGTTCTGTACTCAGACCTATCCTGTTTCTGATACACGTAAATTATCTTTCAAAGGATATAGACTCATCCCTCTCAATGTTTGCTGACGACGCCAAAATTATGAGAAGGATTAATACAGAGGAGAACAGCACGACGCTTCAAAATGACCTGGACAAACTGAAGGCATGGTTCAATAAATGGTTGTTAGAGTTTAACCGGAGAAAATGTATTGTAATGAAGATAGATGTAGGGAGCAGGAGGCCAGATACAAGGTATCATTTGGAAGATGAAATTCTTTTAGAATCAGAAAGAGAGAAAGACCTGGGGGATGATATCACACCAGACCTGTCCCCCGTAGCCCATATCAAGAGGATAACCTCAGCGACATATGCCAGGTTGGCCAACTTAAGAACGGCCTTTAGAAACTTG